ACTGGTGAAATTCCAATAAAGCATCTACTCACTATTTTTGCTTTGAGATATGGTCTCACATTGTAGCCCAGGGTGGCTTCAAATTCAGGAATCCTCCTGTCTTACTTTCCTGAATGCTGGATTACAAATGTGAGTCACCATGCTTGGGTCCAAGGTCATCCTAAGCTATATAGTGAGTTAGAGGCCAGCTTGGGCTACACCGTATCTCCCCAAAAAAAAAAAAAAAAAAAATTGAGGAATTATTCACACACAGTTAAACACACAGATCTTAAGATCTTAAGTACTCAATTTGATGAGTTTTGGCAATTATATCATGTAATCATACCATGTAATTACAGTGCCACTCAAGAAATAGACATTTCAAACCCTCTGGCATGTTAAAAAAAAAAAAAAAAAATCAAAACCAAACCCAGAAACAAAACAAAGAAATCAAATGAAGACAACTAATTATTCGATTAGGTACTCCAAAATAATTTAATAAAATTAATATACTTATTGAATGAAATTGGTCCTGTACAGTTGTCAGTTTCCTAGTTCTGCTCACTGTGTTGTGGTTATGTAACAGGGGACCATTTGGGGAGGCTGGAGAGGCATATAGGGCAAGGATACTAGTGCATCAGAGGACAGAAACCTGTTGTGTCAGTCAGGAATCCCTTGTGTTTGCTGTCTGGGAGGCTGTCAGGGACCTGAAGCTCAAATATGAAGTGGAACTTCCCAGACAATAGCCTTTTGGAGGGGTGCTGTGCTGGGGAAGAGCCTGTCCTTTCTTGAGGTCTTACAAGACTCTTCTGCCCTCAGAATCCAGGTATCTTCCGGAAGATTCTACCACCAGCCTTCTCTCTCCAGTGGCAGCCTGTGGGAACTCAGCTCTTGGTGCTCTCTGATGTGTCCCACCCTGGACATGCATGGGTACCAGCATCATCAGTTCCTTCATCCCTCACTTCCCTATACCTTTGTTCTGTCCCCAGGCATCCTCTCCTGCTTCCTGGCTTCCTCTGCACTCCTGCCTTTGAGTTTCTGTATCTCCCCAGTCTCCTAGTTTCTTAGAAGTTACACATGACCATGGGCTTTATTTTCTCCTTCTTGTCTCCTTGTTGCTCCACATAGTTCTAACAAAGAGAGATGAGACGATTTAGAATTAAGCCAGGGTTTCTGGCAGGATAAGTTGGTATTTTGGTGCTCTCCACACCCACTCTCCACCGTGCTCCTCCCCGGCTTATACTCCTGGGCCACAGAACCTGAACTTCCTTCCTCTGATCCTGATGGAGGTCAGTCCGGGGGAACACTGGAAGAAAGAGGGAGAGAGAGAGGAGGAGGCTATTTCCCAAGCTCCTTTCTCACTGTGTGTGGGTTGGCAGTGGCCATGTTTCCCTGATGATAGTTCCTGTCCCTTGACCGGCTTCCATAGTCACAGCTCTGGGAGACAGGATACTTGCCCTTATGCAGCTATTCAGGGAGATAACCATTGCCACAATTCCTGATCATTGGTATTCTACTAGCTCTTATTGGTTCCTAAAGTCACACTCCTCTGAACAGTCTTTTCTTGGACACACATCCGAATGTACTCTCTGGCTTCCACCAAGAGCTTGGCTGATAACCATGGATGTGTGCTGGTTGACATGCTGGGCACAGCTTCCTTTGGTGACCCATAAGCCAAGTATCCAGAAGTCTGACTGAGCCAGGTTCCTCGGTGGCTGGAGAGGGCTCGGTATGTGCAGATCTATGGGCACAGTATCTACTGAGAGCTCAGATCTATGAACTGAAGTGTGAGGAAACAGGTATGATGGGCTACCGCACTCCAGCGGTTTGTGACAGTTACATCTCAAGTCAGATATAAGACAGCTTATGCATTTAGCTACCTAAAATAAACATTTAAAAAGAGAATTAGTATTTGCTAAATTGGCAAATTGCTATTTGAAAAATAGCTCTCCTTGACTTGATGACTCAGCTAGCAGGTCCTTTGCCAAACTGCGTTGTTGAAAACATTCTCCTTGGAGAATTAGTTTGCTCTTGTCAAAGCCAGATTCTCCCTGCCTAAAAGGAGACTGGATTTGACCTCCTGGCTCAAGATATGCTGGTCTGGGTGGCTGTGTTCAAGGGCTGCTCCACTGGGGCCTCTTCTAAGACGGGGCAGTAGAGAGTGGACTCCAACTGAGTGATCTTCAATCATATGCAGACAGATGAAGTTGCCCAGTCATGCACAGCAGAATCAACCCATGGTTAGGAAAATCTTTGCCAAGAAAGGGGTCCAGCCTCAGGACTCTAGAGGAATGCAGAGAACCTGCTAGGACACAGAGGCTGGGCTGGGAGGACAAGGAGCTGGTCATAGCTGATGCAGTGGAACAGTCCCTGGGCCAGAGAGGAAGGATCAGGGGGCTAAGTACAGTCCTGGGAAGTTTGGCCTATTCTGGTTCCTTGATTTTTCCTGGCCAGGCTTTTGGGACATGTGTATGGGCAAAGGGCAGTAGTGTGACATCATTGGAGTGATCACCCAGAAGCAGTGTACTAAAGAGGGCAGGGTCTCTGGGCAGCAGTGCCTGACAAACAGGGGAAAGGGCCACCATCACGAGGCTGTGTGGGCTGAGCTCTGACAAGGATCAGTTGTTACTAGTGAGCTCCGGAGAGAACTGTTCTGTGGACCCTAGGCTGGGGGCCTATGGAGGAGGTCTGTGGGTTATGGAATAAGCCAGCTGTGTCACTCATCAGAGAGTAGCAAGAGAAGACCCTTGTGGGGGTGGGGGTTTACACAGTGGAAAGAGAGAAGGGACTTTGATAGATCCAAGAGCATCTCCATGCATCCCGCAGCCCCATCCCCACCAGCTGTTAACCCCTACCCTAACCCCTCCTGACACCCTGAGTGGAACACTCTAGAATTTGGCTGTCAGCAGAAAGACAAAGTGGACTGGACCTTCTTGAGTTCCAAGGCACCCCACTTACACAATCCTTTCTCAGTTAACAGGGTCTTACGTATCTACTTGTATAATTACCAAGAATTGCAGTCTTGTGCTCCTTTTTTTTTTAAAGAAAAAAAATTGCTGGGATTAAAGGAGGCAGGTGGATAGAGATTGAGGCCAACCTGGTCTACATAGTGAGTTCCAGGCCAGCTGGGACTACATGGAGACCTTGTCTCAAAAAGACACGCACACGCACGCGCGTGTGTGCGTGCATGCGTGTGTGTGTGTGTGTGTGTGTGTGCGGAGACCTTGTCTCAAAAAGACACGCACACGCACGCACGCGCGTGTGTGCGTGCATGCGTGTGTGTGTGTGTGTGTGTGTGTGAGTATGCTTGCAGTGGCACAAGTATAGAGATCAGAGGGCAGTCTCAGGGGTCAGTCTGGTATTACCTTCCACCTTGTGGAAGGTCTCTTGTTTTTCCCCCACCACATACCCCCAGTTTGGCTGGTCCAAACTTCCTAGCATTCTCCTGCCTCCACCTCCCAACTTCTGTTGCTTGTGCTGGGGTTACAGATGTTTTCTACCACATATGCTTTTATGTGGATTCTGGGGATTCAAACTCAGATCTTCATGCTTATGTGGCAGGTGCCTTACCATCTGGGCCATCTCCCCAGACTTCCTTTTCTTAAAGAGGACTCCTGTAAGTTGTTTGTTAGCCACTTCTATCCTGAAGAGATAGTAATGACATGTGTGGAGCTTTGCTGCATGACTGGAGGTCCTGCTGCCCATAGCACCCTTTAACTGCCTCAGCCACAGCCCAGGGCTTGCCAACACTACATAGGAATGTGAGAGGGCCTCAGCTCTGAAGGTCATGGGTTGTAGACCTCAGTCTGGTAAACACTAATTAAGCCCTACCACACCCAGCAGGGCAGCTTTGAGGAATGGGAGAGGCTTCTTGAGGGGAAGAGGCCTCAAATTCCTGACCTAGGCCTGGGCCACATAGTGGGTCCAGAAGAACTTCTGGCCCTGACCCTAGGCCAGCGGGGGCCACTTTCCTCATATCTCTGGCTCTAGAAGTTCTAACACCCTAGGCATGCCTTGTCCCACCACTCTTGGCCAAGGGGCACTTCCATGATGAGGAAGAGGGAAGAGGTGTTTGCTAAGAGCTTACGCATGCTTGTCCCACTGACTATTGGTGACACAGCAGGAAGGCATAGGCTGTCCCCATTTTATAGATGAGGAAACTGAGGCTCTGTCTGAAATAGTGACTAAGGGAAGCAGCATGAATCTCTGCCTACCCTGAGTAACAAGGGAAGTAGCCTGGCCCCTCTGCATGTGACATATCAGGTGCCTGTAGGGAATTCTAATCAGGGTCGGATCTCCCTGAGTGGTGGTGGGGTCCTCTGCTTACTTGTTTAGGCCTGGGGAAGCAAGGAGTCACTCTTCAACTCACAGCACCTCCCCAAAAGCCAGGTCCTAAGGTGCAGAGTAGCCAGGATTCCCCCATGTGCCTGCTGCCCCAGCCCTGGGTCACTCAGGAGCTAGGATGAGTGAGAATCAGCTGACTGGGCCAGGGTGACTACACATCTGGTAATGCTGTGCCCTCCGGAAAGGGTGAGACACTGTTCTGAGCCCCCATCCAACAGAGGTTACAAGGCTGCTCTGCTGGGCTAGGGTTGTTGGGGGTGGGAGGGGCAGTGGTGCCTACTCCACTTGTGCCTGACTTCAAGGCTGCCTTGATTCCAGCCTCATAGACCCCCTAAAAGCCCAACTAGGCCACATTGGGGATGCTGATTGGCAGGCTGCAAGTCCTAGGCCTTGTCACCCAGCACATACCAGTGCTCAAGCTTGGAGAGCCTGGACCCCAGGGCCTGGCAGAACTGTTGTCCCCAAGTGCTGTCACCTCACAGAGCACTCTCTGTGAGGACTAGCAATGATGTGGGGACTAGCGATGTTCAGAGATGACCTCACCTGCCCTGCCTTCTGTCTCTGCTTCCCAGGGCTCCTAGGACATCTAGTCGGGGGGCTCACTGAGAGAAGGCTAGAGTATAACACACCGAAGCCCCACCCAGCCTCTGAACTGACTCATCTGCTCATCCTCCTACTGGCTCAGTGAGGGCTTGGTGCCCTGGAGCCTGGCAGGCCATCACAGGCATCTATAAAAGCACACTGATCCAGTCCTGTGCATCTTGCCTTACTGCCTGTTGCTGCACGATGCTGGGAGGCCTGGGGAAGCTGGCAGCCGAGGGCCTGGCCCACCGCACAGAGAAGGCCACTGAGGGAGCCGGTAAGGGCCTAGGCTTTCTATTTACTTAGAAGTCAGGGGCAGACTCTCCTGGGTTTGTTGAAAGCTGTTCCCTGAAGGCAGACAAGAGCCTTGGGGTAGACTAAGGCCTATCAGGAAGCCTGGCACACCAGCCCTATCAGGAGAGAGCAGAGTTGACGGCACCAGAGTCTGAGGTAGTGGCTCAGGCTAGAGCCCCGCTGACCTGCTCTGTGACCCAGACTCAGTCTGCTTGAAGGCCTGTGATTAGAGGTCAAGAGGAGGTCAGCTTTGAGGAGGCTTGGAAGCCAGGAAGTACCCAGGTGCTGTGAGCAGAGCTGGTGGCTTGGGTCCTTCTGTCTAGAGGCCTAGGGTGCCTTTTGTGTCAAAGTTGTTTATTCTAGGGCTGAGGATAGAGTTCAGTGATAAAGCACTTGCCTAGTATGTACAAGGGCCTGGATTTTTTTGCAAGAACCACAAAACAAAACAGAGGGTAGATTTAAATTTCACCATGCTTTGACACTTCAAAGTTTTCTTCATTATAAAACTATTAAGTCTGGTCCTGTTCAAAGCACAAAAGGATGTTGCCATTTCTTCTAGGAACCCAGGGCCTGGTTTTGCATTGCATGTGGTAGCTCACCCGAGTCCTGTTTGTGGGGTGTAGATAAAAACCCTGTGCCAAATTTGCTCTTCTCTCTGGAAATGGCTGCAGACACCCATCACTTATTAAATTTTTAACTCCATAGCTGGTGTAGACCCCTTCTTAATCCCCCACCAGCCCTCTGAGTTGTGGGAGACCTTGCAATGGAAGGAGTTATCAACAGTATTGATTCCAAAATCTTTGGGTTCTAACATGTTGCCACCCAAACTGTCCAGAACTCTAAGGTGTGCATTGTCTTGAGAGGTTTGGCTTCTCTGGGGGAGGTGTGGGGATGGGATGAAGCAGGACAGCTAGCTCTTCCTGACAGGTGTGGTGACCTGACAAACACACCCAGGTTGGCCCAGGTCCTTGGCTGGCAGAAGGCTGCTCGACATCCAGGCCCTGCTGGGCTGAGGGGCACACATGGAGGGCACTGTGTGTCTCCAGCAGGCAGGTCTCTTCTCTTCTCTTGAAGTCTCTGAAGGGAGCCAGCCAGGGGTCCTTCTGAGACATGTGTCCAGAGCTCCGCCTTTATGTTCCGAGGCATCCAGGCCATTGTGAAGGGAAATGGCCTTGCATTCTATCTTCACCATGAATTCATTCTTTTATTCAGTTCATGCTGTGGAGGAGGTGGTGAAGGAGGTGGTGGACCATGCCAAGGAGGCTGGAGAAAAAGGTACTGAGGTTGTTTGGAGGTGGGGATGAGGAAGAGGGAAGGAAGAAGAGAAGGAAAGAAGGACCGAAGGGGCTGGGAGGATAGTTCAGTGGTAGAACACTCTGCATGAAGCCCTGGGTTCCACACGGAGCACTGGAACAAAAGTAAGCAGGGAGAGACTGAGGTCAGCAGGACTGGAGACAGAGCAAGGAGGGGAACTTGGTATTGGGGCCAGTCCTTTCCTTGCCCAACCAGGTCCAGCCCTGCCCCTGACATAACACCCTTTCAGCGCAGGTGTAATTATCTGCACATACAATTTTCCCCATATGCAATTATCTGTGCAGATTACACCTTGTGTTAGGGCCTCATCTAGGTAGCTTTCTCTATGGGATGTTAAGAAGACAAGGTTACAAAAAATGATGTTGGCAGCACATGGGACAGAACGTTTGGGACAGACAATTATATTTAAGTATGTATTTGTATAAAACTTTGCTGTGTGTGTGCCATGAGTTAAAACTGTGTAAGAATCAAATATTACCTTAGTTTTTACAACAAAATAGCTTCCAGTTGGATGAAAGAGTTAAATTTAAATTCAGAAATAGGTAGGTGTGGTGGCACATGTCTTTAATCCCACCAGAAGAAGAGGCAGGTGGATCTCTGTGAGTTCAAGGTAGGTCTGGTCTACATAGAGCGTTCCAGGCCACCTGGGGCTACAGCAAGATCCTGTCTCAATGAAACAAAACAAACAGAGCAAAACAAAAAAACCTAAATACAGGAACATATTAAATTGTTAGAATATAACTGTTTAAGCTCAAGCAGTTAAAGATCATATATTCAATAGTTTATGAGCAACAGAAATGTATTGCTTCTACAACCAGGTGTGGTGGGGCATACCTGTGGTCTGAGCATTTGGGAGGCTGAGGCAGGAGGATTGTGGGTTTGAGGCCAGCCTGTGCTATATAGCAAGTACCAGCCCATCCTGAACAATATAGTGAGATCCCTGCTTGAAAAAGAAAGAAGGAATCAAGGAAGAAAGGAAGGAGGAAAGAAAAAGAAAGCAAAGCAAAGCAAAAAGAAAAAAAAGAACAGTAACAAAAAAAGAAAGGAACTTATTTGGGTCCCACCAATCCTGTTCATGAAGCTCCTGCCCAGTGACTTACCCACCCGCAGGGATCCCACCTCTTAACAGCATCATATTGAGGAGGATTTCAACATATGAATTTTGGGGACACAAAAATTCAGGCCAGGGGTTGGAGAGATGGCTCGGTGGTTAAGAACAGTTGCTGTTCTTCCAGAGAACACGGGTTCAATTCCCAGCGCCCACATGGTGGCTAAGGATCGTCTGTAACTCCAGTTCCAGGGGATCCAACACCTAATTCTGGTCTCTGTGGGCATTGCACGACATGGGCACTTACATATATGCAGGCAAAAATTCAGACACATAAAATAAAATAATAAATAAAATATTTTAAAACAAAAACTCAGGCCAAAGCAGTGTTACAAGACACTTTGGCGGGGGGAAGGGGATCTTTTTAACTATGACAGGAAATCTAGCAGCCATAAAGGAAATATTAGGTAAATTTGACAACATGAAACCTCACAATTTTCCACGTTGGTGTGTGTGTCGGGGGGAGAGAAGGAAAGTGAAAAGTCAAGTAAAAAGTGAAAAAATAAAAAGCTACAAATTGACACCATTTGTTAACAGGAACAATAATCCAATATAACAATCCAACATAAAATGACCACAAGCTTCTAGAGAAGAGCAAGTAGCTGGTACACTAAATTGGAATTCCTTCTGTCAGGAGCTGTCTGCCTCTGTCCTGTGGGAGCTGCTCCAGGGCTGGGCTGATTCTGTAAGGTGGCCATACCCCACTGGCCTCTCCTGACCTTAGTACAGTAGGTTCTCACTGTTAGGCCTTTTTTTTTTTTTCCTTTTCTCAACAGCCCTTACAGATGCCTTAAAGAAAGCCCAGGAGTCAGGGGAAAGAGTGGTGAAGGAAGCCACAGAGAAGATGACCAGTACAGTCACTGATGCTGTCACCCATGCTGTGGAAGGCCTGGGCAAACTGGGACAGTGAGCTTGCCTACCATTGTGGCTGACCCTTCCTGAATGTCAAATAAAAGCCATGAAATGTGTGCAGAGTCTTCAATTATTCCTATCTGGATGGAAATACTAGGTGAAGTTCTTTTCCTTTTGGACACAGGGTCTTATGTGGCAGAGGTTGGCCTGAAATTCACTTGCTATATAGCTGAGACTGACCTTGAACTCCTGATCCTTCTGCCTCTACTTCCTGAGTGCTGGGATTGCAGGCCAGTATTACCAGGACTTGCTAGGCAAAGGTTTTTCTTTTCTTTTTTTTTTTTTGTTTTTTTGAGACAGGGTCTCCCTGTAGCCTCAGCTGACCTAGGGCTCGTTATGTAGATCATGCTGGCTTTGATCTCACAGAGTTTTCTTGTCTTATTTTCATGGAAACATTGCATACCCTAGGCTTCTCCTCTGTTGAAGAGGGACATCCGCTATGGTAGGTATGGGCTTCCACTGGTGGTTTCCACTTGCTTCTCAAATACATGAGGAATCATCAATGCCAGCAGGTCATTTTTTGTATGTGTGCATGTTGTTTGTGCGTGTCTAGGCTAGGCTGGCTGATCAGCAAGCCCCAGGGATCTGCCTGTCTCCACCTCTGCAATGCTGGGATTACAGGTATCCATGCCACCATGCCTGTTTTTTTCTTTTTCTTTTTTTTAATGTGGGTTCTGGAGAGCAAATTCAGTCCTCATGAGCGCTTGGAAAGCACTTTATCTAGGGAGCTAGCTCCCCAGCGCCTGGCAAGCAGTTCTTCAATTTTTAGCTCTTTCACGTCTTGTTCCTTCCATCTTCCTTTCCCTTTCTGTTTACTGAACCTAGATCTTAACTCATGCTAAGCCTGTTTCTCTATCCTAAAAGCCCAGCCCATGCTACATTATATACACACACACACACACACACACACACACACACACACACACATATATATATATATATATACATACATGCATATAATACATTTTTGAGACAGAGCTTCACTGTGCTGCACAGGTGATATCAAATTCTCTATCCTGCTTTAGCTTCCCTAGTGCTGGAATTATAGGACATGTATTACCACACCTAACATGTTTTTCTTAATATTTTATTTATTATTTTTATATGTATGCATGTATTGCCTGCATGCAGGTAAGTGCATCCGTGTTGTGCAATGCCCATGGAGGACAGAAGAGGCTTTTGGAGCCCCTGGAACTGGAGTTAGCTGCCATGTGGGTTCTGGGATTCAAACCCGGGTCTTCTGCAAGAACAGTCAGTGTTCTTAACCACTGAGCCATCTCTCCACCACACCTAACTTATGTTTTTCTTGTCTGCATATATTCATTGGTACCCAAACATCCTTCAGTGCAAATTCATCCACTGGCGTCTAGTCAGACTATCTAGAGATCTTGTTGGTAAGACCTACTTTCTCCCACCCAGTAGTAATTGATCTCCAATAGTTCCCAGAGCAGGGCCGACCAGTCACCCATTTCCCTAGCTCCACTCTGGGCCCTTGTCTGATTGAGTTGGCATGGGTCCTGTGCTCGATGCCACCATTGCCATAAGTTCTTATGTGCAAGCTTCCAGTGGCCTGAAAGCCTCTGCTTCCTATGTTCATGGACCAACCTTGGCTCTTACAATCTTTCTTCAGCAATGGTCCCTGAGCTGTGGGTGGAAGAAGTTTGATATAGGAGGCCTATCCAGGTACACACACTCTGAAGTCTCTTACTCGTTAAAAGTTGACCAGTTGTGGCCTTCTGTGTACATCACACTCTGTTGTATAAGGCTTCACTGGTGAGAGCTGAGGGGTGCACTAATTTTCTCTCTACCCTCCCACCGACCCCCCCCCATTCCGTTACACTATGTTCCATGAGTCTTAGGTGTAGAGGCTCCACGGTAGATTAGATATGTCACCTAGGAATGGGCACCTCTCACATATATTCTCTGCGTTTGATGGGTTGTGGGGTTCTGCAGTAGCCTCTGTTGCAAAAAGAAGCTTCTTTGATGAGTGTTACACAGTACACTTGTCTGTAAATATCAGGATTCATATTTAGCATATGATAAGAAATTTTATTTACCTAGAGATATGACAGTTTTCTCTAGGATCTATGACCTTTCCAGCCATGTGTATTTGGCTGTTTACAGTGCCACCTGTGAGTTCACTCCCACTGAGAAGGCTTTAAGTCCAATTAGATAGCTCTTGGTTATCCCCAGATATCAGTGCCATTACTGCACCAGTAGAGGTAGTTTGCTCTGCTGGTTGTTATGGTTATTAGGCTTTAGGGCTGGATTGGACCATTGACTGATTTTTCTCCCTTAGCAGCTTACATAGTATCCTCCAGAACGATGATAGATAAACTTCAGGTAGAAGGCTTCCAGGTCTACATAGCAAGTCCAGGCTAGCCAGAGCTATATTGTGAGGTTTTTTTTTTTTTTTTGTATTTTTGAGACATGGTTTCCCTGTAGCCCCAGCTGTCCTGGAACTCACTATGTAGACCAGGCTGGCCTCGAACTCACACAGATCCACCTGCCTCTGCCTCCCGAGTGCTGGGATTAAAGGCGTGCACCACCATGCCCAGCAAGAGTTCTTTTTTTAAAAAAAAATTTTTATGTGTACGAGTGTATTGCCAGCATATATGTGAGTGCACCCGTGTCATGCAATGTCGCGGAGGTCAGAAGAGGGCTTCGGATTCCCTTGGAACTGGAGTTAAGGATGGTTAGTAGCCACCATGTGGGTGCTGGGAATTGAACCCAGGTCCTCTGCAAGAGGTCAGTGCTCTTAACTGCGGAGCCATCTCTCCAAGCCCCTATACTGTGAGTTCTTGTCTGCTCATCAGCTATTTCACCTGAGGAGTATGTTCCTCTGCTCTCTTCAGACACTACCTGAAATCTAGTTTTTGTGAATCATTGTTCGAAGGATTAGAAAGTTGCCTCTACCAATCCCAAAGAGAGTATCTTAGTTTTTCCAAAGAAGGCAATTAGATTCAAGTAGCTTTGATCCTGTTTCCCATTCCCTGACCCCCAAACCTTTTATATCTTTCCTTAATTAGTAGCAAGACCTTCCTAATCAAAACATGCAAGATTACAATCAGTAGGCACATTCTGAGAAGGAAAGACAAAGCTTCAGTAGCCATTATCTGTCTAGAGGATGAATTTGAAGGGAACAATTCTATGCCAGGTCTCTGGGTCTCACAGTTAATGAAGCCCATGATGACTAGATCTGACTGATGCCTGGGAACCCTGGGAACTTCTGGAAAGGTGTACCTAACAATAGACCAGCAGCATCATTATCATCACTGACAGCAGTTTGGATAACTTTAGGAGTTTCTTACAACTCTTAAAGTTAGCCCTAGAGACAAACTGAAGCTGGAATGTATGGAAATTAAGAACATTTCTGACACTTCCACAGAATGGGAGCTGTTCAGCATAGCTGCTCTTTTCTGCTTCCTACATCGTAACTTCAGATCATCTACCTTATACGCTCCTGAAGGTACATATACATAGTCGCTTACCCTTCTACTCCCATCTCATATATGTATTACCTAAATCTAGATTCTGCATGACAAAACACGCAGCAATGTCTTCTCTCCCTCATTCTCTTCCTCTTCTTTCACGCTGTCATGGTTGGATTCGGTTGTCAACTTGACATACCCGGGAAGAGGGAATCTCAATTGGGGAATTGTCTCTGTTGGGCTGGCCTGTGGGCATGTCTGTGAGGCATTTTCTTGATTATTTGGTTATGTGAGAGGGCCTAGCCTACTGTGCATGTTGCCACACCTGGGTAGGAGGATCGGAGGAGCAAGCACGGAGGGATCCTCCCACGGTTTGTGCTTCAGTTCCTGCCTCCAGGTTCCTGCTTGACTTCTCTCAAAGATGGACTGTGCCTTGGAAGTAGAAGATGCAATATACCCTTTCCTCCACAAATTGTTTTTGGTCAGTGTTTTATTATAGCAGAAGAAAACAAACTAGGACAGAAATCAGTACCAGGAGTGGGATATTGCTATAAGAGACCTGACTATGTAGTTTCTTGGAGGATTGTGGAAGTGTTTGGTGTTTATCACAGTGATAGAGAAACCAAACTGATACAAATCACACACACACACACACACACACGTATCTGCATATAAAAATAAGTCTGAATGGGTTATAAACAAGGGTACTTAGAATTGAATAATTCTGGTCCTCTTCAAGAGCAGTGCATACCCTTAACTGCTGAGTCATGTGTCTAGTCCAAGCATTTCTATTTTTAATTTCAGGAAGCACCATATCTTAAGTATGCTGTTAGAGTCTATGGTAAATTGCTTCAAAAATATACCTCCTGTTATTTAAAAAGAACCAGAAAAAGCCAGGGGTGGTAGTGGACACTTAAAAGGAAATGTGACATAGGAAGTTACAAAAAATTTTAAACATCAATTGCTTTATCATGTACTAAGAGATCATCAAATATGAAAACACAGAAAAGAAACTTTGGAAAAGGTAGACCTTTAATAACTGCTTTTATCACCAGGTTAATCATGCAGTTACAAAGTAGTTAGAAATTTCTGAAAGGGTATTGTTTAAAAAAAAGCGCTCATTACATAAATAATCTAATACTCAACTGGGACACTCTTGTTTAAAAGACTAGCCTGGCCACATAACTCCCTAAACAAAAGTCAACCCCAGGCAGTTAGCCTGCTGTTAGTGAAGCTGGGTACAGAACGCAAAGCCTCCGAAGAAGGGGGACACACAGGGCCACTGGCCATGCTCAGCACCTGCCAGACTCCAAACAGGGAGCGCATGTGTTTTTTCCTGGGACACTCTACTTGAATTTGGTTCAATTACTCAAAACAAAGAGAAGGCTGATGCACTTTCTGGACTGTTACAAATTCCCCCAAATAGTGCACATCTTTTGCAGGTATGAAGAATTCTCCCATAGTGATTCTTTCTTTTTGCTAGACAATTCATGTCTGATAAGCTATACATGATACTGTTTTTATGTTATAAAAATACTAGCTTTTTTCATTTATTATGTTTTTAGGCATTCACTGCTTGAGTAAAGGTTAGGCATAAGTGATTAAAGGCAATTTTACTACAGCAGCATGTAAATAAAATACATAAGAGAAACAGGTTTTATCTTTGTTTGCAACTTATAAATCTGAGTCATTTTGTTGATGTAAAATAGCAATAACTCATCTGAGGACCATGCCACCATTGGAAAACGCCATACACTACTTCTTACAAGTGTCAAAGTTCCTAGACTTGTCCAGAGAAATAGTAACTGACTGCTCTTGACTACCTTCCCTGGCAATACACTGGCCCTGTTGGAAGAGCCCCAGAGCAAGATAGCACAGCCAGGAGGCAGAGACTTTACCTAAAGGCAAAACACCTAAATGGCTCTGTGTGTGATTTCTACTTTTACACTCAGCTTGCATATGATCCCCTAACCTAACTGTTTCTTTAAGGGGATGTTTCAGATTGACTTCTTGAGAACAGTGTCCATTATCTAATGAGTCACAGGAAAAGATTTCTGTGGTTACATGTAAACTTGTGATGGGTCTGAAAAAGTTACAGGTGAAGAGGGTGGTGAGGAAGTCAGTTGTGACTTGTCTATGTAAAGGTCACACCGGCTTCGTTGTACACCTTAAAGACTTTCTCAATGGCGTTGACATAGGCAGCAGTTCTCAGATCCAATCCCAAGTTATACTTCATGGCTGTGCGCATAATTTGCTGAAATAAAGGAGAAAAGGCAGTTAAAACCATCTGATTCAAGCAGGGGGAAGAGGGATGTGGGATGTGAACACAGAAGATATGTGGAGGCCTGGTACAAGTCACCCCATCACAAAGTAAGTGCAAGAAAGCCAAAGACAACTCTAGCAGCAGAAATGTCTCTAGCAGGAAGGACAAATTCTCTGGCATTAATAATGTTACTACTGTCTAGAGAGCAGCAAGACATCACCGTTTAGAACTATAGATGTGAGCAGTTTCTTTATTAACTTTCCCATAATCTGGAATGAGCTCAGATTACATACTTGGTGATTGTTTAAAATAAACAAGAATATGGGCTAGAGAGATGGCTCAGCTATTAGATGAGCACCTGCTGTTCTTGCAGAGAATTTGGGTTCAGTTCCCAGCACCCACATGGTGGTTCACAACTGTCTGTAACTCTAGTTTTAGGAGATCTGATGACCTCTTCTGGCCTCCTCAGGTGCCAGGCAGGCATGTGGCGTACATACATATGAGTTGGCAAAACACTCAATATACATTAAAAAAACAAAAAACAAAAAAAAAACCCAAACAACAATACCATGTCCCTACCCCAAGAACAGAGCAATGGAAACATTCTAGAATTTCAGTGGTGATGGCTATACAGCTTTGTGAATATGCTATAGGTTGATGAACTGTATGTTTTTATTTTATTTTAAAAATATTTTATTTATTATTTTTATTTTATATGTATGAGTGTGTTGCCTGCATGTAAGTGCACTCTTGTGCAATGCCCATGAAGGTCAGAAGTGGGCATCTGATCCCCTGAAACTGGAACTATGGATGGTTGTTAGCCACGATGTGGGTGTTGGAAATCAAACCTGGGTCCTCTGCAAGAGCAGCCAGTGCTCTTAACTGCTAAGCCATCTCTCCAGCCTCAAACTATATGCTTGTAAAAGGATGATTATAGTGGTTTAAACATTTTTATTTCTTTATCTTGTGTGTGCATTTGCTCTTGTGCACCAACATGTATCTGGAGATCAGATGACAACTTGAGGGATCTTGTTCTTTCCTTCCACCATGTGGATCCTAGGAATCACACTCAAGATCTCCAGGTTTGGTGGCAATTGCCTTTACCCACCAAGACATTCTGTTGGTCCCATTAGTTTTTTAATCATCTCTCAATCAGCAAAAGCCAACCATGTGGCGTATGCTTGTAATCCCAGCACTCAGTAGGTAGAGACAGGAGGATCAGGGGCTCAACTGCATCCTACGCTACATAGTAAATTCAAGGCCAGCCTGGGACATGTCAGACTCTATCTCAAAACAAAACAAAAACCCCAAATCAGCAAAATCAGTAATATTAAGAAGTACCACCTGCTTCAGCAGGCTGTCTATGCTGCTACAACTTGGAGATTTAACTGGACAGAATCTGATCTCAAATGGCGCTGTTTATGGCTTGCTTTGAATAGGGTTCAAGGGCAAAACCAAAACCCAAAAATTTATTAAGTAAAATTCTGTAGTAAGGTGGCTTTTCAGCCTATCAAACAGTAATGGACTGATCAGCATTCCAGTTTGGTCAATTACCTTTTTAGTAACTTAGTCGACTGAGAGTGACTCATTAATAACTCAGTATGATTTCTTTCTAAAGCTTGGTAAATATACTCTAAGACATATTGACAATAGTGCTTATCATCTGAGGCTGAAAAGGTGTGTGATCTACTGTAAACAAATGGGGACCATGTAACAGATTGCTATTTTCCACCACAACACACAATCTGCCTGCTGAGATAACATAGTTATCTGTGCCTCATGTCACTAACAGAAAGGCAGATACCATCTGCACACGTACCCTGGCAGATCGCTCCATTGTGTAGGCTAAGCCAGAGTGTACGATGTCTTTCTCTGATGCACCCTGTTAAAAAAAAAAAAAACACGAAGATAGGCTTTGGGTCTCCAGAAGAGTGCCAAGGATTTAGTCAATATGCAACGTTGTAAAGACTTGTAATTTCTGTATTATATCAAGGTACAATACCAGGCTAGACTATCTTGATACTGAAGTAATCGTATTTTAAAACTATAATTTAGCTTAATGACACTGGATAGCAACAAAAACTCATGCAATAAGATTATGATAAAACAATGACCACAGAAAAGTACCACCAAGAAACCCAAGGGCAAGTAGGATGTCCCACTCAGACACACTCTGTTGTTGATGCCCTGGCACATCCACTAGTTACCAGTTTTCTAGGTGAATAGGACTACCAGACAAAGAATATGACTGAGCTGATAGAAGCTTTGGGCAGAATCTTGCTTGTGTATTCAGTAGCACCAACTTTAAAGCTGGAAGATGGCAGGTGTCTATAGACTCCTATCCAATTTGCCTCTTGGCGTGCTTTACTGAAAAAGTTGTGTGAGTTACCATCACTCCTAATGTGACAAAATATAGCTATAAAATAATATCCTGAGGTGCCAGACAAAAACTTAAAGTGAGTCACCAAAAAAGTTATCTGTCCTGGTCAGGCACATGTTGCATGCCTATAATCCTAGGACTTGGGAGGTGGAGGTAGGAGGATCAGGAGTTCAAGGTCATTCTTGGCTATCTATTTATTGAGTTTAAGACTAGACTAGGCTACATGAGTACCCTATCTCAAAAAACCCCCAAAAGTTATCTATGCCTAACATCTTATAATCCCTACTTCTATAACACGCCTACTTCTATAACACGTCTATTTTATGTTTTTTGTTTTTTTTTTTCTGTTCTATGAAGTTAGGTAAATACAACAAACTTGGCTTTATAGGCAGTATACTACAGTTTCTTTCATTCATACACCGTTTATTGAGTAAATACTATGCTCTAGGTATGTTCAGATACTGGGGACATAGCAGAGAACAAAATAGTATCTTGTGTTCTCATGCAGTCTGTATTTGTGTATACTTCTGTGTAGACTGCATACATAAGACTTGAAACTATGAGGCTAAATAGATGCCCAACTTCTTCGAGACAGGGTTTTCCTGTAGCTCCAGCTGGCCTAAAACCTGCTGTGTAGACCAGGCTGACCTTGAACTCACAGAGATCTGCCTGCCTCTGCCTCCTGACTGCTAGGACTAAAAGCATGAGCCACCAACCATGCCCACCCTGTAAATTCTCTTCCTAAAGTATAAAAACTATTGATACATTGTTACGATAGATTAAAGCTGTGTGTGGTGGTACACACCTTTAATTCCAGCACTCAGGAAGCAGAGGCAGGTGGATTTCTGTGAGTTTGATGTCAGCCTGGTTTACATACTGAGTTCCAGCCAGGGTTACACAGTGAGAGTGAGACCCTGTCTTTAAAAATAAAAGTACACACACACACACACAAATCTTTTCTAATCTGTTAACTCTCTTATGTGTCCATACAGTTATTTCCCATTTTCACATAATTCAGTCTCATGTTTACTTTTCAATGACATCATCTGTACTGCAAAGAGTACGAAAAAAACAGAGCAATTATTTATTAGCTATAGTTTTTAGAATGGAATGAAGTATAAACACACATAGGTGATATAATTATGATTAATACCCCTTGATTAACACTTCATTCAGTCTACCCAGCCTGTTTGAAAGACAGGGAAGGAACATGTGTAAAGTGCCACATTAATGCCCCACACTCACCGATATCCTGTCCTGGAACTCTGCTGTGGGTACTACAGGAATAGTTCCACCATGCTTTCCAAACTTTCTTTCTAAGCTCTCTTGAACAGACACTATAAAAAGCCAAGACATCAAGATACTGTTAGAGGAGGGAGAAAAGTACATAGAACCAAAGTAACTCTGAACACATGCACAACCCGAAACTAACAGTCTTAGAACTCTCACCCCTTAATGACATAGAAGGGTTGATCATTAAAAACTCAGCTAACAAAGAGAATGCTCTGCCAAATTCCTATATAAATGTGAATTTAGGTCACTGCTCTGTTTCTGTAACACCCATTACCAGAGTTTTTTTTCTCTTGGCTCTGTTAAAAAGAAAATGTTGAAGGAAAAAGAAAAGGACAGAGAAGAACATTTCAGCAGATTCTGAAGCTGAGTACAGGAACGCAGCTGGAGGTCTTGGTTTTAGTTCAGCTTGCTGAGAAAGTCTATTCTTAATTGTCAGTTGACTCTGGTCAAATAAAAACTCTCACCAGAGGACTTAAAAGGTTTCTAGACTAGGTAGGATTTAAAAAAAAAAAAACAATCTTTTAATTAGCATATAAAATAACGGGCTTCATTATGCCACTTTCATAAATGTTAGCTAGGACTTTCTGAGAACAACCAGGGATAGAGATGAATGCACATCAATGGTAGAATTTATGTTTTAAAGTAAGACTTAAAAAAAAATATTTTATTTATTATTTTTATTTTATGTGTATGTGTGTATTGCCTGCATGTAGGTAAATGCACCCGTGTTGTGCAATGCTCACGGAGGCCAGAAGAGGCTGGTGGATTCCCCTGGAACTGGAGTTAAAGAGAGTTGTTAGCTTCCATGTGGGTGCAGGAATTTGAATCTGGGTCTTCTGCAAGAACAGTCAATGTTCTTAACCACTGAACCATCTCTCCAGCCCCAAAGTAAGATTTTTTTATATTATCACTGTTATAAATTGTCTTTGGAAACTATTATATCATAAAACATAAAATGATTATAAACATATTTGAGAGTTAATAGACTGTTTATTAAAAAAAAATTGATTTATGCCTTAGGAGATAGAACAAGTTTTCTATTCTTAGACGAAACTCTCTAGGACTACCAGGAAAAGGCTTCCTTGTGCATGCTTTTTCCAGCCTTTTCTGTGGCCCAAAGGACTTTACATGGAAGACAGATCAAGATCATGAGAACTCACTGAGCAAGTGGTAGTTAGAGTCCCTTTCGTATTTGAAGGTCAGTCGGCCATAGCTGACATGATTTAGATTCTTTAGCCACTCAAAGTAAGACACTGTCACTCCTCCGGCATTTAGGTAGAGATCCTATACAAAAACATGACGGGGAAGATGTTAGAAAAAAAGAAAAGATGATGACTTAAGTAAAAAACTATTAGAAAATAATGAACTTAATTTCTTTTTTCTTTTGCATTATATATATACATACATACATACATATATATGTATACACACATACACACATACATATGTATGTACACACACATACACACATACATATGTATGTATACACACATACATACATACATACATATATATGTATGTATACACACATACATACATACATATATATGTATACACACATACATACATACATATATATGTATGTATACACACATACATACATACATATATATGTATGTATACACACATATATGGTGGGCATACATGTGGAGATCAGGGGACAACTTTTCAGAATCAGTTTTCATCTTCTACCATGTGGGTGCCAGGGATTGAACTCAGGTTGTAGGGCTTGTGGTAAGTATAGATACTCTCTGAGCCCTCTTGCCAGCCCCAGGAATTCAATTTTAATATAGAGGTGGAGAGGTGGACTAAATTCAAACAGTACAACTGTATCTTAGGATACACTTAGGATATAGTGCTGATTGATTTTAGTGACACCATGATCTCAGACTGAATGGCCTGCATACCAACCACTGGACTAATGACACCTCACCAGAAGATAGCATTCCCTTTGCCACTGCCTAACTGCTGCTTACCCACCAAAAACACTGAGCACACATTCCTCATAGCTTTTATAAAAGATTTATTTTTAATTATGTTTGCATGTGGGTATGTGCGCATGAATGCAGGTGCCTATGGAGGTCAGAAGAACATGCTGGATTCCCCTGGAGCTAGAGTTATAGATGGTTGTGAGGCTGCCTGAGTGCTGAAAACTGAACCCAAGTCCTTTGCAAGAGCTCCTAATCCCCGAGTCATCTCCAGCCCTAGCTTGTTTTTTAAGTAAAGCAGGAAGAGATTTTAAATGCATAAAGTTGGGAACTGTGTAACAGTTCTTAAGAATTTAACATAAAATTGTACTTCTAGTACAATATATATTTATGTAACTAGATTTTCAGACTGTATATATACTCAGGTTAGAGCTGGAAGCTGGGAAAAATGTTCCAAGACCAAGAGAAAAGTGACTGGCATATTATAGCAGCCATGATTCCAATCTTACTTGTTTTCCGAAGGTGCTGAGTACTGAACCTAACCCTTCATGTGTGTTAAACAAGAGCTCTACCACTGAGACCCCAGCCTCAGCCTTGCTTCCACTCCACTTTCTTAAAAGAACTGACCACAACTTGTGGCACTAGTAGGCCCTCTCTCCTCAGTTTCTAGCAGGATAAACTATGACTCCTAATACACATAGAACACCTGAGTTGATCACTCACTGGAATAACCATGATGTTCCTTTCCAGGAAAATCTTATCAGCCTCTGGAGTGGTTGGTCCATTGGCTCCTTCAGCAATGATCTGGAAGAGAGTTGGGAGACATACAGAAACGCCAGGAAAATCCTCACAGGGCAAGAGATGTATGTATATAGGAAAGAAGCTAAAATAACATAATTTCAGGCAAAACTAAATTATAAAAATAATTTTGCTCTACAAAGTATATAAAACTCCTTTCACTTTTCTGATTTTCCTAACTGTTTTGAAAGTCTGGTGATGGTTATACAATTTTGTGAATATAAAATTGAAACTTAATGGTACCTAAGTTATGATTCTCTTGTTAAATAACAAAATATTTCCCTCTTCCCCGCAACAAACAAAACCATCGATCAGACTTCCTGACATCTCTAATGTCATTCCACACTGATGATGATTCTGGTTTTTACAGTGGTTTTACCTTGGCTTTGACTCTGGGTGCATTGGATTTGGTCAGCTGCTTCTCGCTGGCAGCAGGGATCAGGATGTCACAGTCAGCCTCTAAGATGCTTCCTTCATAGACCTTTGCTTTGGGGAAGCCCAGAATTGATCCATGTTGCTGTAATTGATTGAAAAGTAAGAATTAATGGCTGCAACAGAGTTTATGTTATATATTTAGTGCCTACTATACAAAAATATTTTCATTAACAGCTTTTTGAAAGCTAGGCAGGGTGGCTCATGCCTGTAATCCTAGCATTAGAGAAGTTGAAGCAAGAGGATTGCTATGAGTTTGAGACCAGCTTGGGCTAAATAGGGAATGAAGCCAAACAGGCTTAAATAGCAAAACTGTCTCAAACAGAAAAAAAAAAAAAATCCCATTAATCAATACTTAGAAGGCAGGATGATTGCCCCAAATCTGAGGCCAAAACCAAACAACCCCACAAAAAATTAAAAACAAAACAACAAATGCAATGGAAATAGACTTAAATAAATAGGTTCAAATAAGACAAAGTTGTTCTCTGACCTCTATCTGTGTGCAGTGGCCCGAGTCCCACACCCCACAAAATAAATAAATCAAAATGCTTAAATGGTGGGGAGGGGGATGTTGGTAGGATGGTTCAGTGAGTAAAGTGCTAGTCACCAATACTGATGTCCTGAGATCCATATGGTAAAAGGAAGAGTTGACTCATGCAGGTTGTACTCTGACCTCCTCATGTATCACTTGCCTATGTGCATGCATGGACACACACACACGAAATTAAGCAATCTATCCTGTTCTTAAAAGCTTTAGATATTGGATTAACATACCAATTTGAAGTCTTCCAGTTCTTTTGGGTCAATACCATCTGGATTCCATATACTCCCATCAGATTCACCAACACCAACACATTTAGCACCAAAACGATGCAAGTATCTCATAGAATGCAGGCCCACATTACCAAATCCCTGTGGAGAACAATTATGCATGGTTTAAAAATTAAAGACTTGGTACAGAAAGTATGAGTGATTTTGAACAACATATTTTGTTAAGTTTAGAAGCAAGTCTCAAATCTTTTGCTAAAAGATGCAATGTACTGGTCTACTAAGACAGCTTATCTGGTAAAGGCACTTGCCACTATGCCTGATGACCTTAGTTCAGGTTTACATGGTGTAAGGAGAAATCCAATTCCCCCAAAGCTGTCCTCTGATCTCCACACATGGGCTATGGCACACAGGCGCCCACATATATACACACAAAACAAATAAATGTATATATTAAAAAAGAGAAGAATTGTACTGAATGGCTTCTCTTCAACAACAAATTTCTATGCTCAAGAATGTATAAGCTTCTATTACTTGTGAGAGAGTCTTGAAGAAGTGTAGTTAAGGACAACCTTCCTTGCTTATAAAGAAATGTCAGCAGTGACAACTCAGACCAATGCAGTCAGACCTCAGTGACCAGAGGTCTTATGAGCGTATAAGGGTATATCCCTGGGTTGGAGGAATACAAATCCTATTTTAAGATAATGTTCAACTTAAACTTCTAAGTAAAATACATGTTTACATATTAAACAAATTTGGGTTAATGTGAACATTTTTCTGCATGCTCAATAGTTTTAGAAAGTTTTGAGACCTTTCTTCCCTCTGAATACAATTTAAATAAGGACCACAAGAAGTTGGTGATAGTCTTGGATTTAATATACCTGAGAGATATTAGATCAGGTCTAGTTCTGTGACTCATATCAAGGCTAAAAAAACAAAATAATCTGGGAGATTCCAAAAGAATTCAAATTTGAAGTTTGCAAACAGAAAAATGCTAAAAAACTTAATCTATATCAGTTATTAAGAAAACAAAAATTGGGGACTGGCAAGATGGCTCAATAGTAAGGGCATTTGCTTCCAAAACTGATGACCAGTTTGAATCTTGGGACCTACAAAGTGGAAGGAGAACCAACTCCAGTAGGTTGTCTTCTGACTTCCACATGCACTCCCTGGCATCCCCCATATAAATAAATGTAATTAAAAACACAAAACTCCAAACTGCTTTACCTGAACAACAAATGTCTTATCTCCAAACCCTGGTGTCATTCCCAAAATGCTCATGTAAGAGGCTTCATTGATGAAGTTTTCAATTCCATGGAAAACACCACGCCCAGTAGCAGAGATGCGCCCATGGATGCCTCCTTGACTGATGGGTTTGCCAGTTACACAGGCATGTGCATTAATATCCTGTAACAGAGGGCTAGAGATATAGCTCAGGAGTAAAGTACTTGTCTAGTGTGCTGTAAAGAAAGGAAAAAAAATCCTGCAAGAAGAAAGAAGCTGAAGAATTCTTAATCTCTTTTGAGACAGGGTCACTGACCTTGTACTTGTGATCCTTGTCTCAGTCTTCTTCTCAGTGCTAGGATTACAGCCATGGCTACCATACCTGGTCCTAAGTCTGATTTCTATGATTAGTCAATATAATGAATATCATAAAAATATTTTCATTAAGAGTATCTGCATGTTGGATGTGGTAGCACATGCTGAGGCAGGAGAATCTCAAGTTCAAGGTTACCCTGGGTTATATAGCAAGATACTGTTTCAAAACAAAAAACTATAAATATGTGGACCAATGTGTAAAAGTCACACATAAAAGTATGTGTGAGCCACATGAAGTACATATTCACCAACAGGACAAGTCTTACTTTCCCAACTCTCTGTTCTTAAGAAATCTAGTATAAATGTAGCAAATAAGAGTCTACAGAGAGTGGGTCCTTGGACAGGACTCATATTAAAATCCACCCACCCAAGGCTCAGGGAGTATTTAGGATGAGGGGATGGAAGGATTGTAAGAGCCAGGGAGGAGGTGCATGACCATATGAGGTGCAGTAACCATAGGTTACTGGGACTCTTCTCATACGAACCTCCATCAATGGTGTCAGCATGCACAAATCTCATGCGAACTTCAAGGAGATAAAACACAGAACTGTGGAAACGGGTAGCAGGCCCCAATCTTAGTCAAAGAATTACTGGCAGTTGATTACTGCTGAGTGAGGAAGAGCTGATCTTCTTAAAGGGAGGGACTCTAATTTGACATGGTAGGCCGTAAGACAAATGACAGAAAGTATGAATTCCAGTGTGTGTGTGTGTGTGTGTGTGTGCTATGGAAGAGAGCCGAAGAAAGGGGCATAAAGGTGATTAAGACGTTCTGTGGAATATACAAAAATTCAATAAAAATTAAAAAAAATCTAATAAAGTAGACTATGAGGGGAAGTTTAGGAATTCAGTGTCAAGCACAAGTAACAGTATCATAAGGGTAGATATAATTCAGCTTGAAGTTATTATTTCTTCAATAAACACGTAGCCATACTAAGTCAGGGTACATATTCCATCTGCAAGTGTCTTAGACCATGCCAATAAAACAAAGCCCGAGGCAGGAAGAAATATTATAATTTTATTGGCCGGAAAGACAGTATGCTGTATTCTATTACCAAACTAATCTTAAAACTCAACACATGACATAAAAAAACACAAAAACAAAAAAAATGAGAAGATGACATTTAAGGTCATCTAAAAGGGAGATTTAAAGGTATAGGGGTAGGAGAGATGGCTCAGAGGTTAAGAGCACTGGCTGCTTTTCCAGAGGACCTGGGTTCAGTTCCCAACGCCCACATGGTGGCTAACAACTGTCTATAAATCCAGTTCCAGGGGATCCAAACCCTCTTCTGCCCTCCACAGGCACTGCATGACACAGGCGCATTTACATACATATACATACATATACTCATATGTATAAAATAAAAATTAAAAGAATATATTTAAGAAGTATTTTAAGAAAAATTTAAAAGGCTGTATATAGGTCAGATACAAAAGCCTGTGGCTGTGTCTACACAGGGTACCTTTGGTATGTCAGTAGCCCTGCAAAGAGGATGGAGTGGATGTTAACAGTCTTATCGGCTACCTTTTTGCCTTCTTTGAATTAAGGATAAACATGTTTTTGTGTTTACAAACAGGCATAGTTAGACCCTGTCTCAGAAAAAAAGGTGGAGAAACTGAGGAAGACAAATGATGTTGGTCTCCACATGCACACCTGTGTACATATAAACATGCAAGGAAAAAAAGGGGGGGTTTGGGAGGGCATCCCGTCTAAGGCATCACATATACTATAAATATAAACATAGTAAATAGAAATTAAGGAATTAAGACATTGATCATAGAAGAAAAGAGAGGTGATTTGAGCATATCCAAGAAATCAGCACAAGATGAAGTTTAAATCATTGGTAAAAGCATCCCTGCAGAGGCAATTTGCTGCTCACTGCAATGAAGTGTTAACTTCATACCATATCCGTATCCCAAAGTATGCTATAACTGAAGAGTTAAAATGTCACCTGATCTTTACTCATATTATTTAAATACTTTCACAGAGAGAACTTATAATGATATTACTTTAAAATTAACCAACAAAAAAGAATAAAGGCAAATTTAAAAAAGGCAGTCAAGAGCTGAGCATGGTAGTGCACATCTTTAGTACCAGCATTCAGGAGGCAGAGGCAGGTGGATCTCTGTGAGTTCAAGGCAGCCTGGTCTACACAGTGAGTTCCAGGTCAGCTTGGGAGACCCTGTCTCAAAAAGACCAAAAAAAAAAAAACAAAAAAAAAAACCCCAAAACAAAAAACAAAAAAACAAAACCAGTCTACCAAAGTGCTACAGAATTAGTTTTCCCACAGTTCTTTTTCATGAATAATTAACACTATGACACTATGAATACAGAATTGCAAACCTGGTGCCAAATGGTTCCAAACAGTGGAAATGCAAATGCTGGAGTTGAAGGAAATACTGTGTGAGGTCAGGCCTGGTGCCAGCTGCCTGACTTCTCAGCATAACTAATGGTCTGGGAACCCAGGAGGGGAAGCAGGGAATATGGCCCCCAACACTGTACTGCCAGCAGGGCTTGACAAAGGGCTATGGTTTATGTCCAGCAACAAGAACCAAAAATGATAGCTTCTTTACCTGGGTCTTGGATTTTAGATTTCCGATCAGTAGGACATGGAAGGTCTTTTGCCAGTCCACTCCAGGGTTTAGCTGGCAGTGCCTCACAAAAATTTCCTTATGCTGCCACAACTGTGAATGAGCCAGGAGCAACAGTACACTGCCTATTGGTTTATACCGGGTCAGTGCAGAGCCCAACTTAAAAAGAGTAAGAGCATATGCAGAGCTCGCTTAACATTAAAAGGTGATGTGTATGGCGGTATACAGCCATAACTCTGGCACTTGGGAGGCTGAGGGAGGAGGACAGCTCTAGGTTTGGGGTCAAACTGGGCTATACAGTAAGACTCTTTCTTTCTTTTTTTTTTTAGAGTAACATGAAAATGGCCCTTCTGAGAATGGCAGTCCAAACTAAAACTGTTTGAAATATCTAACAATGTTCCACTTTATTTCACAGGATATGTGCAATTTATGTGATGTAATACTTGTTAGTCTCAAGGTGGCCTGCACAAGCTCCAAGCTACCGCAATAGCACCTTAGGAAATGTACTTCTTCTCCAAAGCCTATCTTTCCACCAGGGTCCTGGAATGACATCCTCTGACTCATTCCCTTGAAGGATCTTGCTACATTGACTTGGCATCTCTCTTGCAGTCTGTGTCTCATACCAAGGAATCCATGGCTCACAGCCAACTAACATGCCAGACAACAAAACCCTTCTCTCTAGGCAGTAGTCATCTTTCAGATTGTCCTCCCTGGGCTTTTCTCCAATGCCATTTTCCTTCAGCAGAGGCCGTATCTCATGTCCTATTTCCCTGTCTTCATACCCTCCTGAGGTCCGAGACACTCTATCCTGCCCTCAACAATTTCATCTCCTGCAACACACAGAGCAAGACTTTGATGCACACTCTGCTATGCCATACACACCTGCTCATAATGAACTCTTCATGGCTCCCCCATCTTTTAGGACATAAGTCCTGATTGCTCCTCATCAGGCAGTAACCTGGCAGGAGCTCTTCTGTGTCTTTTCTATCCCTCCCTTGTTTGCTACTGCTTTTAAAAACCTGCTTCCTGCCTTTCAAGTTCACTTGACTTCTGTACTTTAGGACTTTCAGCTTTGAAAGTTCTTTTTGCCTCAAACACTTCTCTGTTTCTTCCTCTATTTGATGAGTGCTTATTTTTCACAGTATAGACCAGAAGGTTCCATTTCCAAGGAGGTCTTTACTGATCCTACTTCAAAAGACTTGGTTAGGCCCCACTATTCTTTTTCATAGCTTTGAAACAACCAGTATTTATGACAGTTGTCCTGAACACCTAACTTGCACTTGGTATGAATGAGTATCTTTAAAAAAACCCATTTCCTGCCGGGTGTGGCAGTGTACATCTTTAATCTCAGCACTTAAGAAGTAGAGGCAGACAGATCTTTGTGAGACTGAGGCCAGTCTGGTCTACATAGAAAGTTCCAGGTCAGCTTATAGGGAGGCCCTGTCTCAAAACCAAAAACCAAACAAACCAACAGAGAATCCATTTATCTTAGTCTTTAAATGTTTTATTTTTCAAGGTTCCACAACTTTCAGGGACAAGAAGTTGTTCTCTCCAGCCCTGGGTTTCTGAGGTGTGAGTTCAGGTGTTAACATCACACAGGCGACTATTCTTCCTGAAGGATGTGTCACAGCAAAGTCTCTCCTTTATCAAGTAAGACCAAAACCTGGGCTGGACATTTGTTGTGGCTCACTTAGCCTCCATCACCTATGCATCTTACTTTTAATCTCAGCTCTCCTGTTTCTCTTCCTTTCTGCCCCCAAATCTCCCGATGTTCAAATTCAACCATTTTTTCCAGGTACAGTCCAAATATCCCCTCTAAAATGCCTTCTTTTAGAAACCAAAACTCTCTATCTTTATGTCACATCAGTTCTATACTTTATCTGTTAATGTGACTTAGCTCCTCTTTAAGTGAAATACTTTGAGGGGAAAGTCATAACTGAATTCTTCACCATTTACCATCTAGCGTCTCAGCAAATGAGCTCTCTTGGTTGGGAAAGGTCTTGCCCCAGTGCACAATACAGGGCAGCAGATAAGAAAAAGCTCAATTCAGTTCACTTATAGTTTAAGAATAGAGAAAGAAATATGCATATCAAGCTTATGATTAAAAGGGAGCTGAACCCAGTGATTAACAACTTCTTATATAATCAGATGAATCGTTATTTCTTGTGGACAGCAATGCAGAAAGTTTTGGGGCTTCAGTGGATACTCACATAGTGCCCTATGGTGCTGGCATAGGTGTCAGCGATCCAAGACATCTCCCGCTCGCCCGTGCTCATGTCTGGAGCAGGCACATCAATGCCAGGACCTGGGAGCACAGGGAAAGGGCAGTGCACCATTTTTTAAAGATAAACTTGTCCTCAACATAAAGATGCTTGCAATTCTCTAAAAGAACAAAGTAATTATGCCTAGAAAACTTTAGATCTAACTTAGGTAACAAACTAAGTCATAGAAATACTCATCAAATGTTTCTTCGCTACAAAACTTGTACACATAATGTTATGTAGCAATTTCTTCTGTTTACTTGGTTATGTCTGGAAGTTACCTATGGACAATAGACATAAGCCATTCCTGTGACTTCTGGTAATCACAAGCAAATGTTCTATCTATCAATTCAGTTCCCTAAATTGCAGCTAGAGGTAGTCTATCACCTTGTTGTACATAAACAGGATCACTATGGTTAGTGAGTAGAAGTGCATGATGTGGTATGAAGTGGCAGAGGCCTCTCCTTGCCAAAGAGAAAAGGCAGGGAGGAAAGCCACACTACTGAACCAAGTATGTTAAAGCCCATAATACTTTCACCCATGGAAACTTCTACTGCTTTGATTGATTATCCACTGGTTAGTACATACCAATTTTTAGGCCTTAGCTCCAAGTTCCCCAGAGTACAGCAAATTAAACTAAGTATGAGAAAAACAAGCTGTGGGGCTCACAAGTAGTAATGGAACCATTGCTGCTTCTACCACTGTTGGGCAGGGTGAGCTCATTGGGCAGCATACTTAGTGATGCTTACTCCAACTATAAAGGCATGTTTGTATTTCTCAAAAATAATATTGAAAAAACAATGACCTAGGATGACATGGTATAGCCACACAAAGAACTAAATAGGCATTAAAAAGGATAATATTTACCCATGTAAATGACTTGGAATAGTCACCAAAACCACTATGTGGAAAAAGGCAAGTTTCACATAGTCATATATATATTTCTACTTATATAAAATTTCATCTATATATTTATATACATACACATATTCTGTATATATGTATTGTATGTATCCTCACATGTGCATATATTGTCTCCTACACATATATGTACAGAGATTTGAAAAGATATGCATAAATACTTGTTTACTGTGTTCTCTTTCGATTTTAGTATTGTTACAACTTCCTAAAACACACCGTTTTAATTGTATTATAAAACTAACTATACTCATGAAAAGTAACTTTAAAAATGGTCAAATTATTAAGTCCCCTCCATGGTCCCTGTAGGGCCCAGGTCCTAGACGTTGTTCTTTTTCCCTCCCTCCCTCTCTCTCTTAAATTGTGATGTAATGGATACAAGGCTGGCACAAGTTTGATGTCTCCACCTAATCTGTCATTCTACATCTTTGTTCTGTTTGTTAGGCATCTTATGTATCATATGAAGTCTGACCCCCACAGACTTGCCCATTTTCCACAAAGAACCCCTATGTGAGGGGTTAACACTGTGTTCTTGCTTCACTCACACACAAAGGTTCTACTTATCACTTTCCATCCCTTGATAGTGGCATACCGCAGCTACAGGTTAATACAGTTTTGTTTATCGTATTCCTTTCCTTTCTTAACATATAAATGAAAAACTGCTATTGAATCATCTAGAAATCTATAGAAGTAGTACCCTTGTTTTTAGCAACATTACTTGCTTCAAATAATAATTTCAATCAGCAAATCTGAGGTAATTAACTATCAGAAAGATATTTGGGAAAAACATAAAAACATCACCCTAAAGCAGTTAGAAATGAATCTTGACTGGTATTTTTGCTTATATTTCAAAAGTTTCACAAGGAGACTGTTCATTAAAAAAAAAAAAAGAGCCTAGACATGCTAAAGGGGAGACAGCCTCTCCTACTCAAAAAAAAGTTATAAAGTGTCACTGGGTTCATGAGCTTCCTACCTCACACAAACCTAATCTAGAGGGATGTACAGATTACAAGTAATTCCTGAATTACAGATAAATTCTTAAGTAGTTAGTGAAGAACAAGTCTGATGCAGAAATCCACCCTGTTTGAAAAAGCAACAGTTCAAAGGGAACATGAGCATAAAGAAAGCTAAATTCAGGGTAAATTGGGTGTTTGGAGACCTAGGACGACAAAAGGGAGATACAGGAACCTTTGGGGGAACTTTACAGTTTATACAGGTGCCATCTAAATGCACGCAAAATAATTAGCATTTTCAAGCTTTTCTAAGGATCTGAAGGGGGAGGAATACGTTCAATCCACTCTCTGAGGCTGGTATTACCTTGATATTAAGACAAGACAAAGAGTAATCATGAAAAAAGAAAACATCCCAGTTAATTGTGTTGAGTTGGTATTATACAGAAATAACAATATTCGTCTAGAAACGTTTAACTTATTTTTTAAAATTTGCACAAGGATAATCTATTACTGTTTTAAATATGTAAGGTCTTACCGACATGGATTCGATTACAGAAAACTAATATTCTCTAGATTAAAAAAAAAAAAAAAAAAGAAAGAAAATTGACCAATATCCCTTATAGTAGTAGCATCTAAAGAACAAAATATGTAGCTTTCCCTGATAGTAAGTATCACATAATGCTTAAAGAAACAAATGAGAGGCTCAATAAAGAGACATCCATGTCCAGGGATTGGAAGACATAAATTTGGTAAACATGGCAATCCTCATGAACTAGTCTAGAGACTCAAAAGAACTATCAAAATCTTAGCTGTTTCTCCTACACCCTGCAGAATTTGACAAACTGATGCTAAACTCACAAAATTTAACAGGGAAAGGATTCAGACTCAAGTCTGAGTCACAATCTGGAACTCTGTGGAAAGGGAAGTGAGAAAATAACAGATAAATTTTGACAGTTTTCTTTCTATAAGCAAGAGACTAAAATACTCATATTTAAGTTTTACTTTCTGTGTTCCAATGATTCACTTTTGTCCTCTGGAACTGTTAAGATTCATAAAATAAAGCTGGAAATACTCTAGACATTGGCAATAAATATGAGCAAATAAAATCTAAAACTAAATAAGGATATTAAAACCTAATTGAGATTTTAGGGTAAGAGGAAATAAACATGATATTTAAATAGTTGTGAAGGCTATCATCAAGCTGAACATGATTTCAATTTACCATCTCAGAATTAGAAAGCACTGATGTAGGTATGAATGAGGCAGGTAAAGCATTAACTTCTCTTAGCATGCTTTTCCTATGCATGTACAAATAGCAGTGTTTGTGGCAGCACAGGCCTTTAATCCCAGCACTTGGGAGGCAGAGGCAGGCAGATCTCTGTGAGTTAAAGGCCAGCCTGGTTTATATAGTGAGTCCCAGGTCAGCTGGGGCTACATGGAGACCCTGTCTCAAAAAGACCAAAGAATTTCTAGGTTTTGCTATATTCATCTTCTTCATACATTATTTCCTCCCTAAACGGGGCAAGCTTCAAAATATGAACAGTTTAATTTCATAAACTTGTCACTGGTGAGGAGAATATGGAAAAGGAAAAATACAAGGGTAGGAAAGCAGAGTTAAAAATATGGTCATGTCTCCATTCCAGTCAGTTTTATTGAACTATGATAAAAGTGCAAACATTCTAAGTAACTTTACTTTATTTAAACAAATTAGAAGCCTTCTAGACAAAGAAATATAGAAAACTTAAGTTGTTTAAAAATTAAAGAATGACAGATATTTATACATCACAAAGAATATTCCTGACACAAAAGAAATTATACACAAATACTAGACAATAAAGTAAAAACTATCAAACAAATCAAAGTAAATACCCTTAGAAATTTAGTGTGACTCCTCAGAGACAATGTGGTGAGCTTCAAAAGATTCTTAATGTTTTAGGAAAAACAGGATGGCTATTAGAAAAACTACTTTTCACATATTTAAAAATTTGCTAGTCTACATAGTGAGTTTCAGGACAGCTGGGGCTACAGAGACACCTGGTCTCAAAAAGACCAAAAAAATAAAAAAAATTTTTTTTGCTATAAATTCAGGTATTATTTAGTGCCCCAAAGTGGGCTATGTTCTTCTTCATGTTTCAGAAGAGAATGCAAAAAAGGTGGGAGAGATCTCTCCTTGGTGTTTCACACTGCACCACGAGAACCTGAACTTGCCTATTAGAGATGTGTCATGAACAGGCCTGAGGCTATGAGATCTATCATGGAACCTGGTTTCCACAAGAGAAAGGGTACTTTATAAAGGCAGGAGATTCTACTTTATACAGAATCCTACAAGACAATACATACCAATGAAACCCTTCTTTGCTAGCTCCATGGTGAATCTCCGTGTGATCTTCTCCAATTCATTATCCTGCAAAGGAAAAAAAAAAAAAAGACAACAAAATAATGAAAAAAATTGATATAAAAATCAATTGGGGAGAGAATTTTATCACATTTTCTATGCTAAAGATATATCTCCTCCTTGTAGAATCCTCAGTACAACCTACAGAATAAGTATTTTTATTTATTTGTTTAACTCACTATGTGTCTCAGACTGGTATTTGCATTTTAAAGATAACCAGGGATTTCTGGGTACAATTATGCAGGCCTTCAATCCCAGAACCCAAGAGATAGAGGCAGCCCGAGTTGGAGGACAGCCTGGTCTGCATAATGAGACCCAGAGCAGACAGAGCTTGTCTCAAAAAACCAAAGGGGGCCAACAAAAAACAGGGAACAAAAATCCTAACACCAAAAAATGACTTTAAAAATAAGAAATATCAAGCTGTTTGGTAAATGTCCCATGTACACAAAAACCATTTGGATACTTACTGTATAGCTCTTGGGATTGATCTTAACACCTGCTTTAGCACCACCAAATGGCACATCTGCAAGAGAAGACTGAAAGATGTTGTTCCATATAAAGCTTTAAAAAAAAAAAACCAAACAAACAGAAAGCCTGGTCCAATACAAGTTGAGCAGTCCTTATCTGAAATGTTTGTTTCGTAAATGTTTTTGGATTTCAGATTTTAAAATATTTGTGTATACATATCTGGATATCTTGAGGATGGGATCCATGTCTAGACAGGAAGTTTACTTATATTTCATATACATACAGTACACAGGTTATTTTGTAGGACATTTTAGTGTGCATATGTTTTGATTACAGCCTACTATATGAAGTCAGGTATGGAATTTTCTACTTGTGGCACCATACTGGTATTCAACTAGTTTCAGATTTTGAAGTATTTTCAATCAGGGATGCTTAACCTTTATTACAAAAATGTGTGACATTTAATTCAAGAAATAAATCCAGGGCTGGGGCTGTAGTTCAATTGGTAGAATGCCTGCCTACTATGCATGAAGTCCTGGATTCAGTCCTTAGCATGGCATAAACTGGGTCTGGTGGTGTAAAATCATCCTTGGCTACATAGTAAATTAGAGGTCAGTTTAGGCTATATGAAATTCTGTTTCAAACAAACAAACAAACAAATAAACTAAACAATCCCACTTCTCGCTTCTAAAATGTTGAATTTTAATTCAGTAGTAGAGTACTTGTCTAACATATACAAGGCTCTGAGTTCAATCTTCAGCATTACAAGAAAAGAAGCAAAAGAAACAAATAAAAACAGTGAACTTTAAATAAATCTTACTGAATAGATGTTAAAATACTAGCCAAATATTAACTATATTTAATCAGTGCTCTTTACTACTTCTGAACGAATACTTTATAATTTCCTTCTATGATTTGATCTTATTTACAGACTAGGACAGGGATTTAAAACAAAAATCTACATTTAAAGAAAATCCAATAGTGTCTATAAAAAAATTCTCCATTAAAAAAAAAAAAACTAAAAGAATGATGTAAAACCCTAAAGAGTACAACCTTTATTTAAAATTTTTTTTTTAATTTACTTATTTTATGTGTATGAGTGCTATGCCTGTGAGAATGTAAGTGTACCTGTGCCATTCAGTGACCAACCACAGAGGTCAGAAAAGGGCATTAGATTCCCTGGAACTAGAGTTATGGATGGTTGTTAGCTGCCATGTGAGTGCTGGGATTCCAACTTGGGTCTTCTATAAGAGTAGTCAGTGCTCTTAACCATTTAGCCATCTCTCCAGCCCCCAAGAGTACAATTAGAAGACAGGAAAAAAAAACAAAACGAAAAGCCCAGCTGTCCACCCTGAAGGTCTCCTCCCAAACTAAACACGAAATGCTTTCCACAAATGCAGGTTGGAGTAACTAAGTCATTGACTTGCTGCTGAGCCACAGAGGGCAGGTGCTCCAAGCAGATGAAGCTGACTCCACGGGCGATGGTAAAGAACAGGGAATACATGGGATGCTTTGCTCACTTTTAAATTTATTTAAAACATAGTGACTATTTAAGAGAATTATTTACCCAGTATTACAGTGTTTATATCAAACAATTTGTATATAAAACAGAAAAAAACACGTCAATGACTGCACGCGTGCACACACACATGCATACACGCACACTCGTAATAATGAGCACTGGAGTCTTAGGCTAGCAGGTACCAGGCCAGGATGGCAGGCATGCTGACTGGGTGCAGAGTACAACCTTTTTTTTTTTTGGTCTTTTTGAGACAGGGTTTCCCTGTAGCCCCAGCTGGCTTGGCACTCAATATGTAACCAGGCTGGCCTCGAACTCACAGAGATCTACTTGGCTCTGCCTCCTGAGTGCTGGGATTAAAGGCATGCACCACCATGTCCTGTAAGAATAAACTTTTAAAGAAATATTTTTATAGCATATTAAAAACCACCTTTGGGCTAGTGAGGTAGTGCTGCAGGTAAAAGCACTTCGGAGTCTGATGACCCAAGTTTGATCACCAGAACCCAAGTAAAGGTGTCAGGAGAGAACTGACTCTACCATGTTGTCTGACTCCACCTCTGACCTTCACACATGCACCCCCACACATATACCATATATACACAATAATAAAAATTTAAAAAGTAACCTTGTATATACATGTGTCTACCCATGGAGGTATTAGGTATCAGCAAAGGTGAGCACTTACCAACCACTGCACATTTATATGTCATCAGAGAAGCCAGAGCTTTCACTTCATCCACACTCACATCAGAGCTGTAGCGGATACCTGGTGATGTTTTTCATTTAAAAAAAAGAGAGAGAAGGGGGAAGGGAAGAAAGAAGTTCTTAGAACAAACTTCTGGTAAGTTCATTAAAAAATACCAAAAAACCCCCAGCTACAAACTGAAAATGCCCACACTGTATTTTACATCTAGGCTGTTTCTAAGAAGTAGCCTATCTATGTGTGAGGACACTATAAAAGCCAAAGAGAAGAGAAGCTGATTAGACACCTAGAGAGAGCTACAGAATGAACACTGAATTAATTGGTTTTGATGTATTCTGATAGCCAAAAGTGGTGAAGTCTAGTGTTTGCTTTAGACAGGGACCTTAGGGATTAAAGAAGAGTAAGATAATCTTTGCCTTGAAGGACTTATAGACCAGAAACTAATTTTACAAGACAAAGGTTACTTCCAGGGCTGTTGAGATGGCTCAGTGGGTAAAAGCATTTGCTGCAAAAGTCTGACAATTTGAGTTTGGTGCCTGAAACCCAATGATAGGAGCAAAGAACGGACTCCTGCAAGGTTTTCTCTGATTTCTATACCTGTGCTCTGACATATGTGCTCCTACACTCACATCATACACACAATAAAAGATATCTCCAAGTCCATTTCTTCAACTTGCTTCACAGCCAATGATGACTTTGAACTCCTGATCCTTCCACCTCTGCCTCTCAAGTGCTCAGATTACAGGGACGTGTCTAGTTTTCTTATACTGCCTTTCAGTTAAGGCTTATTAATTTCCCCTTTACTGGCTAGTTTGGATGATTTGGTAACAGTGATCTCAACATAGACAAATAAATAGTCACAGAGCTCAAGAGATTCAATCTCAATACCAGATGTGTAATTCTAGCACTCAGAAGGCTGAGGTAGGAGGATTGGTACAAGTCTAAGGCCAGCTTGGACTACATAGTGAGTTCTAGGTCAGCCCTGGGTTACATGGTGAAACTTTATTTCAAAAAATACAAATGAGCTAGAGAGATGGCTCAGTTGTTAAAAGCATTAGCTGCTTTTATAGAGGACCTGGATTTTTGATTCCTAGTATCCACACATCCCTAACTCCAACTCCAGGGGATCTGATACCTTCTTCTGGCATCTGTGGGCAATGCAGGTATGTGGTGTACTTACATATATGTAGGCAAAATACTCACATACAGAAAAATAAAAATAAAACACAAAAACTCCTACCAAACAAACCCCCCCAAAATAAACAGAAAACCCCAAATGTATCCCTACATAACATGAAAAGACTAAAAAAGTACTAAAAAATTAAAAGTTCTAGGTCTTAAGCCAGGCATAGCGATGCATGCCTGTAATCCCAGCACTCAGGAGGTGGAAACAGGAGGACTGTCATGAGTTTGAAGTGAGCCTGGGATGCACAGTCAGATCCTACCTCAAACAAAACAAAAGCAGCTGAAAGGCATTCTAGTAAAAACAAGGTCTGTAAGGAAGATGAAATAATTTTTCTAAGAAAATTTTGCTTAAATGCTAAAATGTATATTTCAAATTATTGAAACTACCACTAAGTAATATATTAATTAGTGAAAATGATGCCAAACCAAGAAAGCACATGTTTAGTGTCTTGTCCAGGTGACTGTAGCCTATAGCACCTGGAGGGAACACTGCTCTCCTTCCCCTGGGGTAAGGGCTGTGGGCTATTTATTTAGCACAGCAGCCTGGTACCTCAGTTACCTCCAATTTCAACTAAATATTAGCACTGCTATCATAAGCAATTACAAAGTGGCAGCATGTAACAAAGCAATTAAGGCCATATCCCCCCCTTTTTGATAGGGTCTTGCAGCATGGCTTAGGCTGGCCTTGAATGTACAATCTTCCTGCATCAGCTTCCTGAGAGCTATGGTTATGGAATGAAGCAATTTACTTTCCAGGAATTTACTTGACAGGAAATGGAAGATTTGGTTTTAGCCAGTACTTTTGAAGATAAATTCATAGGAAGTGCTAAAATAAGTAACTAAGAATTACTGCTCCGTAAAATGGAACATGTCTGTCATCTGGGCACTCAGGAGGATGAGCCAGGAGGGTTCAAGGCTAGCCAGGTCTACTTAGTAAGTTCTAGGCTAGTCTAAGTTATTCAGGCAGAACTGTCCCCCCCAAAAACCAAGGGTTGGAGACTTCAGGCAGGTCAATCTAGGGAGACTGCCTAGCACTTACCAAGTCATGTGTGTGACACCCAGGACTGTAAAATAAATACATAAATAAATAAATCTGACTCTTGCAGGTTTCCTTCTGATTTTCAATGAGTTCTGTGGCACTCACAACACACAAATAACTGTAATAAATTTAAAAAAGGAATTGTTTCTCCTTACGCCTATATCACTTAAAAAAGATTCATTTACTTTTGTGTGTTCTGATTGCCGGTTTACTGGTATGTGTGTAGTACCCAAGTGAAGGCTGAAGAGGGTGACAGAGCTTCCATGAGGGTGCTGGTAATCAAATCTGGGTCCTTTGGAAGGAAGGCAAATGCTCTTAACCCCTGAGCCACCTCTCCATCTATCTCTCTCTCTCTTTTTTTTTTTTCTTAAGATAAATTCATAGGAAGTGAATTGCATTGCACAAATGTGGTGCACTTACATAAATGCAAGCAAAACATTCATACACATATCTTCAGGCATTGCATAACATAGGTGTACTTATACACATGTAGGCAATACATTCATGCACATAAAATAAAAACAAAAATATTTTAAAAAGTATCTAATGTGATGCAGAACTAAATACTGCTAATTATGGAGAACTAAAAACTGTTGTAAATAATATATTCATAAATTACAAAGCAAATGCCCCTGTATGGTAGGCCCAATATTCCAATGATAAATGTTAAGTAGAGATTGGACTATTCCTTATACCAAAGTGCAAACAAGATGTTGTTCTCACTACAAAGGATTCAGTCGGAAACCAAGTGCACAGAAACACGTTTCCAATGGATGAAACTCAGCAATTCTTGTTTGGAGAGTGAAGAAAAATTTCCTCAGCTGCAGCCATGTGGAATTATTAGTCACAGCACAGGCATTTTTCTGCAGACTATGCACTAATGAAGAACCTTTATTGGAGTGAGGCATGGAAGGAGGTGCTAGGAAAGCAGCAACAGCTTAGTGGAATAAGCCCTGAAGCAGACAAAGGTAGGGCAAGAAGGGAACAGAAGGTAAAGGAGGTTTATGACTTCCTAGTCAATGATACATAGATGCTTTCACTGCTGGACTAGCAGGCATACCAGTGAACAGTTAAACTGTTGTATGAATTTCAAAGGAGGCAGTGAAACTAGAGATAGCCATACTTCAGGAGAGCTAGTCACTCTTCCTCTGGTATCCAGAACCAAAGACAATCACCAAAAATATGGTAATTTAAAAATTCTTCACACACAATTCTAGTTACGAACAGGGCTGCATAAATGAAGCGACTCTGCACTACATTTATTCAGTAGCTTGAGAAATTAGTACAATTAAGAGTTTATGAAGGACAACATATGGACAAGGGGCAGAGCAGGCTAAAGATGAGTAGGACCAACAGATGCAAGCACAAGGACAGAAAAAAGAACCAACACTCTAATTAAAGAATCAGAGGAAGGCGAAGTATGATTTTTTTAATCTTAAAGTATTAGAGGGTCATATGCTAGCTTCTATCATAACCGGCAATACTGGGGGTTCGGAAGAGCTCATCTGTGTCTTTGAATAACTGTGCTAGTAGGTATAACAGATTATCACTAACAGAGAAATGGGTAGATATGGTGGTAGACTGCAGAATGGATGCCGTTAGAAGTGGGACCTCAAATCAAGGGCCGTATTCTGACCTGCTGACAAAAATCTGTGCTCTAGGGCTGGAGAGATGGCTCAGCAGTTAAGAGCACTGGCTGTTCTGGCAGAAGACCTGGGTTTGAATCTCAGCACCCACACAGCAGCTAACAACTATCTGTAACTCCAGTTCCAGGGATTCAACATCCTCTTTCTGTCCTCCAGGAGCATTGCACAACAGGGGTGCGCTTAAGTACATGCAGGCAATATATGCATATGAATAAAATAAAAGTAATAAATAACATTTAAAAAAAATCTATGTTCCAGTCCACAAGAGGAAACTAGAGACACTGGCATGACAATGTCCATATTTACTAACTGGGGGAGAGCTGGGAGGAGGGCAGGGGAGAGAGTGAAGCACTCACCACAACAGGAAACTGAAACAACAGAAATCAGACATTTTATTCATTTTTATTTTTTTCATTTGGGCAGTTTTTAATGACAGTCATATGTAAGACCCTACTCCTGCATCTTCTTGCTGGTTTCTTCCTTGTATTTGCCCTTTTCCTTTCCTACTTGATGAGATTTGGCTTTCCGTTCCAGGATCTTTTTGTGGTCTTTGTCCAGCTTTAGCCTGGTGCTAACCACCTTGCTGGGGTGAATGTCCACATGGACAGTTGTGCCATTAGCCTTTATCCGCTGCATCTGCTCAATGCAGATGACATAGTTCTTCCTGTAAACCTGGACCACTTTGTTGATTAGCTAACCTTTGTAGTGCTCTTGAACAACCTGAACTTTCATCATCCTTTCAAATGTGCATAGACAGAACAGTGTACTTCTGTCTCAGCTCTTTGGAAAGAGAGGAGGACATAATCTTCCTCCGAATGTGAGAAGGTGCTCTGAAATGCCTTTTCCAGTTCTTGCTTCGGTCAAAGGGATTGTACTTCACTTTGGTGGCTGCTGCTTCAGCGATGGTCCCAAAAGGGAAGAGACCATTTTATTCTTTTTTTTTTTTCTGGTCTTTTTGAGACAGGGTCTCCCTGTAGCCCCAGCTGTCCTGGAACTATGTAGACCAGGCTGGCCTCGAACTCACAC